TCTCCCAGCTTTCGTAGCGGGGTGAGATCTCTGTCCCTGTAACCCGCTCGCCTTTCAAATACACACGTGTGTGCCTGTGTGTCATTTCAGGGTAACTGAAGTGGCTGCTTCAATTTGAAACAGGAGCTGTTGTTTCATTTCTCGAGTTGCTTAACCCCCTCCTGACTGTAATAAACACGGTGTTTAAGGACACAAAAATATTACTCTGGAGGAAGGGGATCAGAAGCTTGGAAAAAGATGAAAGAAACACTCTGATTACCCTCTTTAAAAATACGTTTCTTTAGCTGAAGCTGCTAAATTTGACTCAACTTTACACACTGGAAAGGTTTTGCGGTTTGTTGTTTTTTGGTTTGTTTTTTTTTTACTGTGAATAAAGTGTTTTTTCCTCATAAAAACCCCCACCAACTCTCAGGCCAAGCGATGCAGTTTCGATGTGTCACGGAGGCAGGGTTATTGCAGATCCCACTGTTGGGAAGGTCAATGTAAACCCCAAAACACGAGACTCTGGTCTCAAGTGAGGCTCCAGGTGCCTGAAACCAGCACCTGACCCCCCTTCACCATCACAGAACGGGGTTTTTTTTGGAGGAGGTGTGAGAAGGAACATGTTTTACCCTGGGTTCATGCTGAGAGGGGTGCAGGGCTTTAGTCTCAGCTTCTGGAGGACTAAATCCCCTGCCTGAGGGGTGTGGAGACATCAAGGGTTTGGAGTTGGGAGTTCCTCTGGTCCCAGCAGGAGGAGGGATGGGGCAGGGAAAGGCAGGCAAGCCCAAGCTCCACTTGGAGACCAACTTCCACAAGGATTCATTACCAGGGAGCTGGAGCCGTGGGACACCTGGTTTGCTGATAATTCACCTCATCCTAAGGCAGGTGTTTAAAATAGCTCCTGTGACTCACTGTGCCAAGAAGGGCCAAAGGGTTTCAGACGCCGCCTCGGAGGCAGCTGGATGTTTTCCTTGTGACGGGACATGGGGCGAGATGCCACCTCCAAGTCTCCAGCTCTTCAGGTCCCTGCGGCGAGCCCGGCCCCTGTTCCCTGGGCAGCTTTTCTCCTCGGTGCTCATCTGTGACCGATGTTTGGCTGTTGCTCATCTCCCATTCCCAGAAAGGGACATGAAAAACAGGAACATCCCTTTTGCTGTGGCTCCAGGCTCCCCTGGCTGCTCCTTTCTGCGTGGCCATGCACCTTGGCTGGGGACGGATGTGTGATGGAAGCCACACACAGGAAGCCACAGGTGTGATGAGTGCTGGCCCTTTGCAAGTCCTCAGTCATCCACAGGACTCCAGTGCTCCCAGAACAGGAGGTTCAACAGCCTGAAATCCCATCCTGGTCCTGCTTCGTTGTTTTTTTTTCTGCTTTCTGGATTGCAGATGCTTCTCTGCTGTCACCGGGGAGCAATAAAAAGTTGTGAGAGGGAGATGGGAGAGTGAAACCCTTCCTGCTGGGCAACTCTGGTGTCTTCATCCTCTCCTGTCGTAGCTGATGGCCCCAAAGGGCAACAAACATCCCCTCACTGAGGAGAAATAAGGGGTGAAAAGGCCTTTTCCTTTCCTCCAGCCCCTGCGTGCACTCCCTGTGCCACAATGCAACGGTGATGGGCAGCATGGAGGGGAGCAAAAGGCAGCCAAAGCTGCGGCTGCCCATCTTCAGCTCTCCCATCACATCTCCCACGGTCCTTTCCTCGTGACAGAGATCTGGCACCTGAATCTGGTGGCTCTTGGCCTGGTGCAAGTGTTACTGCTGGTGCGCAGGGGATCAAACACACACCGATCCTTTTCCAACGCTCCAACTTTGGATGCACCCAGTCACCCTGGCAGGACAAGATGGTATTTGGTCAGCGGGATCTTGCTGGGGGACACGATGTCACCGTTCCCTTCCTGCAGCACGAGCCCGGGGGTGACAAAATCATCAGCAACAGGCGGAAACGAAGTGACTATCAGCACCGCAGCCCCGTGCCGGACCTGCTCGGCCTTTGCTGCGGCGAGTTTTCTAAGAAACACCGCAGCAGTTAGCGAACATTTACGGGAAGGGTGGGCCAAGCTGAGCCTGCAGCCAGGGCAGCTGCGATAGCGTTTCGGGGGTGCTGGGGGGGGACAGTGGCTGCCCAAGGGGCTCAGGCTCTTTGCAGTAGCAGGCAGTGTGGTTGAGGGTGTTTGCTTTCGTGTAAGAGCAGCTTCCCGGATGGTCTGGGGGAAAAAGCAAGAGAGGAGATGAAATGCAAACCACATCTCAAAATAGGCCTAAACTTTGAAGGTGTTTGGAGCTGCGCTTCCTGCTTCTAGCAGCCCTGAGGAGGAGATGAAAGATGCAGCTGAGTAAAAAAAATATAAACAAAGCAAAAAAAAGAAAAACAAACCAACCAAGTTAACACTTTCTGCTGAAGGCAGAGGCACGGTGGTGACACAGCACACCAGGTCACCCCACGAGGATGGGACTTGCCTCCAGGACCTCCTGTTCCCTTGGACAGCAAACTTGGGAGAGCAGTGCCAGTGAGCCTGGATGAGCTGGGAAAAGGAGGAATTCTCTAGACAAGGGGATTTTAAGCAGAAGACCTGTTTTGTGTCAGATCTGGCTAAGGGACTTGCAAAATAACCTGCGTGACACAGCACACCAGGTCACCCCACGAGGATGGGACTTGCCTCCAGGACCTCCTGTTCCCTTGGACAGCAAACTTGGGAGAGCAGTGCCAGTGAGCCTGGATGAGCTGGGAAAAGGAGGAATTCTCTAGACAAGGGGATTTTAAGCAGAAGACCTGTTTTGTGTCAGATCTGGCTAAGGGACTTGCAAAATAACCTGCAGAAAAGGAAACACGCCCTTTCCTTGGAGAAGACACACAAGCCCTGTGTGCACACAGCAGCAGGTGCTCCAGGAGGTCAAGCAGGAACAGAGCTTCAAAATTCAGCCAATTCAATTATTATTATTAATAATAATAATAATAATAAATCCCAAGCAAAAAAAAAAAGAAACAAACAAAAAAACCCCAACCAAACAAAAACCACCTCTGAAGCCGAAGTGCTGCGGAGCTGGGAAATGGGGTTTGACAGTTTGGAGGGTGAAAAAGCTCGAGTGAAGCGTTACCGCTGCTGACTGATAGCGACCAACTTCTCGTAATCCGAATATCAACTTCCTCTGGTTCCGCCTTCACCGCAGCTGAGCTGGAGGTGGGGACAGCCCGCCGGCTGCTTTCTTCACCCACCGGCACCCGGCATGCAACACCCTCTTCGCGCCAACAGAGCCGGAGCAACAGGATCTGCCTCACCAACATTTAATTTGGCTGACAACATCCGGCGTTTCATCAGGTCGCTTTGATCTTTGTTTACTCACCTTTCCCCAGCACATGCTCCTCACCAGCCCGTGGATGAATGAAAATGAAAAAAAGGGCTCCACACCCCCTTTGATCTCTTCCAGGAGACCTGCCAGGAGCAGTTGGCTCTGGAAACACCCTGCCAAGGGCTGGATCCAGCCTTTCCCGTGGTGCTTTTGGCTGGCTGGTCCCAGTTAACGCTGCTTGGGAAGCCTTTGGCTGAGAACTTCAGTGTTAAGTCTTGGCTGGAGACAAATCGGTGGTCCCCAGCGTAGCCACGGTGTGGTTACCGGTACCCAGTGCCCTCCCAGCATCCTTCATCCCACCCCACAATGAAGGGACGTCACCATCACATCAAGTGGTTTGTTTTTATTTAAAACCGCATAAAAAAAATAAGATTTCTGAATTCCCCTGTACAATATTAACTATTAACAACAACAACAACAACAAAAAACCCAACAACCCGCCGGCTACACACTTGGTTACATGGAAAGACTCGACAACGTGGACGACCTGGGCCGGCTCCCTCCCTCCCCAGCCCCAGACAAGACACCCATGAGGGGAAAAAACCAAAACTCATCTGCAAACTTGAGAGATCTGCAGGTGACAAGGAAACAAAGAGCGATCAGAACCATGTATACAGCCAGCTGGGGAGCACAGGCAACCGCTCCGCATCTCCACCAGAAACGCTACGGACCCAGGAACGGACACAGGACAGACACGGAGGGGAAAAACCCCAATGGAAAACCAGGGGAGAGGTGGAGGGGGGAGGATCAGCAGCTGTAGAAGCAAATCGTGGGTCAGAAACCCACGTGAGTTATAAATAAATAAATAAGTTATCCTACTGGCTAGAACTCTTCCTTTAAAAACCAAAACAAAACAAAAACAACCCAACAAATTCATGAAAAAATAAGTTAAAAACTGGCAAAAAAAGGAAAAAAAAGGAGTAAAATGTGATCTCACTATTAACAACTGTACATCGAGCTTTGCTGCTATAGAACAATCTTTATACACATTTACAGCTCTGTTGGTTTGCATTGTTTGTGCATTCGGTGAGGGCACAAAGAAGCAAAGAACCTCAGAAGAATCCACCGGGAGATGGAGGCACAGAGGAGAGGAGGCACATCGCCCATTTGGCTCCCAACTGTCTTCTGACCCATTTTCTTTATGAAAAGTCAAAAAAAAAAAAGGAACTATATACCCAGGCGAGTCTTGGGAAAAGCAGCAATGTAGGAAAATTCAAGTATTTCCTCCAGCACAGCCCAGGTCACAACTGAAGGCACTCGAGCATGGTGACAGCGGAGAAGAGGCAGCCATGGAACCTGCCTTTCCCTTCTTCGTTTCCCCCCCCCCCATTGAAGCTTTTCTCATAAAAAGGTCTCCAATCTTCTCGCCGTCCCAAATTCAACGGGTCAGGAAAACACTTGGGAGTCTCCAAAACCAGAACCAAAATGAATAAACAAACAAAAAAAACCACTTTACTGGCAAAATGTCAAATGAGACAGGGTCATTCAGATGGACTCCAGGACAGCTGGGTGGGATGGTGGCCACCAGCGCTTGGAAGATGAAATCTCCAGCCAAGCTCCAGGAAGAGATGTTTGTGTTTCCATCTGATGATCCCTGCTCAGTGGTGGGGCCCCGAGGAAGAAGTCTGGTGGTCTTTGCTTCTTATGGCCAGGAGGAGATGGTGTGGAGCTGTTACTTGCCAGGCTCCTCCAGCAAACTGCGCAGGTGGATCTCTGTCTCCTGGGGCAGGTGAATGTCTTGCAGCCAAGGATGGTTGAAAAGGTCTTCCAAGGATGGCCTGTCCAAGGGGCGCATGGATAAACACCACCTGATGAGGTGCTGGCACTCTGGGGAGAGAAACCAGAAACCACCGGTCAGTTGGAGAAGGGTCTCGTCCACCTTGTACCACCATCTGCAGTGCCCAGGCCACGCTGGGTGTGTTCAGAGCTGCACCCAAACTTTACAATCAATTATTTGTTTTGGAGGAGAGCAGGATGGCAGGACATGTGCCACCTCCTCCAGCTAACCATGGGAGATCAACCTCCTCATAGAACTGCCTGGTTGGAAAAGACCTTTGAGATCCTCAAGTCCAACTGTACTTGTCCACTACTAAACCATCTCTGAGCATCTCATCTACCCATCTTTTAAATCTCTCCAGGGATGGAGACTCAACCACTTCCCTGGGCAGCCTGTTCCAATGCCTGAGAACCCTTTCAGTGAAGAAATTTTTCTTGACATCCAATCCGAACCTCCCTTGGCACAACTTAAAGGCCATTTCTTCTTGTTCTATCACATGTGCCACCTCCTTGTTCTATCACATGTGCCACCTCCTCCAGCTAGCCATGGGACATCAACCTCCTCATGTGCCACCTCCTCCAGCTAACCATGGGAGATCAACCTCCTCCATAGCCATGAGAGGGGGATGCTTGTGTTTCCAGTGCCACCTCCCAAAACCCGCCATCCCCTGCCATGAAGCCGGGTACCAACCTAGAGAGATCCGCCGTCGGAAGAAGATCTGGCCCCGGATGATGTCATCATCGTGCTCGAAGGGGATGTCCCCACAGACCATGTCATAGAGGAGCACGCCCAAGGACCAGATCGTGGCCGTACGGCCATGGTAGCGGTGGTAGCGGATCCACTCTGGGGGGCTGTACACTCGTGTTCCTGTGGGATCCAACCACAGCTCATCAAACGGATGCTGATTGTTCCCAGATCCCTCCCCTGAGCATCCCCAGGGATGTGGGGGCTGCACTGGTGACAGAGGGGGGGGTGACACACACACACACAGAGTGGGACCTGCCACCCCCTCGCCAGCACGTGACTCTTGTTTACAAACTTTGGGTTGTAAAATAAAGCTGCCGGTGCCGGAAGAGGGCAGCACGGGCCCGGGGAAGGCCCGACCGTTACAGCAAAAAAATTATAAAAAATTATAAATAATTAAAAAATTAAAATCCACG